ACATAATCATTTAATCAGTACCAGTTTTCTATTTCAACTCGGAATAGAGCAAGTGAGAGGCGCCTGTAAGTGGATGTTGAGTCTAGAGTTCCATATAATTTCCTTCTGTGTGATCTCTCTGTATCGTTTGCCATGAGGACTCGTTTGGGCGCCAGTAACGTCTTGTGTTTTCCCAGAGTTGAGATGCTGTGCTCTTGGCTTCGAAGGAAGTAGAGTCTACTGTATCCCTTATCCAGAGAGGGGATACTCATCTCATACTCTTCTCCTCACCAGGATGAATACACAACATCTGGCGTGCCATGTATACTGTTCCAGTTTTATCTGTTCCTAATTCGGACAACAATTTAGCAAATTCGCAAGAAGTTTTAAAATTAAGTTTTTATGTTTCAGGTAAACAGCACTATGCAGATCATGGAAGGGGATGTAATAAAATTCGGTCACATGAACGGTGCCGCGGTTCGGCCCGGACAAACTGCTCCTCAAGTAAGACTTAGATTGGATATACTTGTACTAGCTGTTCTGTATTATTCTGTACAATCTCCGCATCTTAAATTCTGATAATCTTCAGGCTAACGCAGAATTTGCATTCATGGTAGAGCGAGCAAATCCTAGCTACGATTATATTGGATTCGTAGATGGACGTCGAGTACGACCTGTAACTTGCTCTGGGGATACGGAGTACTGTACAGAAATTGAAGGGCGTACTATTGAACATGTCCGTATTGTCACTGTCTAATTCTTAGAATTTTTATGTGCAGAAATTTGACTTGTTTTCTACCCGTTCAATTTCCAGGGAGACGTAGCTCGTCCCACGGTTATGCAGTCGACAAAGGCGCCTCCTGTGCAAAATGCTTCTCAGAATGTAATTTTTCATTAGCAATACCTAATGAAGTATGGTGAGGATAATAGTGAGCGTTCATTTTCTTTTTCAGCTAACTGCGCCTAGCACTACTGCTAGTGTCTCATCTACAGCTGGAGCAAATCCTATGGCTGGTCTTATGTGGCCCGGTACCCTTGGTTACAACCAGTCCTTGCCGGGTTTTGCGTACAGCGGTTTTCCCATGAATCCAGCTTACCTGCAGGTGTGTGATTGAAAATATGTTCTGCTTAATGACAACTTTGTGATTCCTTATTTGCTCTTTTTTCCTCTCTCATATCTGGACCTTAGTATATTATTTACAGCCACCGCAATGGGCACAGCATCTGCAAGTTCTCCAACAACAAGCACAACAGTCTGGATTTCGAGTACCTGATGTTTTTGGTGCTACTGCATGTATGGGCTCCTCAAATGGCCCTCCATCTACATCGGCGTCACTTTTTCCGCTCACACAGCGGGGTTTTTCTCTGCAGGTAAGAAATCGCTTTCACATGTTGGGTTGGTGCATAATATCGTAGCGCTCGCATTCGGCAAAAACGTTCAAAGCAAAACCCAAAAGCAAGCATAAAACTGAATCAGTGATGTTCTTCTCGTCATTATTTACGACTTTGATTCCATTTCGCAAGAAATTACCGGGTTTAGAATTTAAAAAAGGGTACTGAGCCCGTTTTCAGAGTCCTCATCATTCTCAATATGTATTAGGTACCGGATATCTTAGTGTCGCTTTTCTGAGTTCAGGAAGTTTTGGGGCCGATTACTATGGAAAATCAATATCCCAGAAGGCAGTTTTTGCTCATTAATATTGCGAAATATGTTGCTTACCGTCTTCTATTGTTGGTTCACAATTTAACTTTCCCCCAATTTTTATACTTTCTTCTGAAAATTCCTGGGTCCAGTGTGCAAATTCGCATGTGTGTACCAAATGCATCAAAATTCTTGCTGAGAGCTGTAACCTCCGCCCACCAAACCAGCATTGCATTTGATGGAGGGAATACTACCATTTAAAATGCTCATCGGTTTTTCACAGTTTTCTTAAAAGACAGTAAAGTCTTTGAAGGGATGCCCGCAACCGTCGCCAAAAAGGTGGTCCTAGCTAAATCAGTCAAAACGGGGCTGCACCAGTCTTGTGCTGGAATGGTAGGACACCCTAGCAGTTACTGATCGATGGTGCACAGACGCTCTAACGAAGTTGATTGACACAAGAAATTCTAATAAATGTGCTCATCTGCTACTCACGTGTGCTCAAAAAGGGTGCGTTTTTGACCCTATGTGGCAAAAAAGACTCCGGGAAAAATTGTCCAGTTGAGCTGGTAAGTAATAAATTTTCCACCAAACAGTGCAGACCCTACTCTAACTAAATGTATACATATTTTGTCCAGGCCCAACTGTTTAGCAAGGTAGAGGGATGATTTGTCAGATGATGTCAAATTCGACCTACCTCTCTTTTTCGTCTCAAAAAATTCCTAACTTTAATCGTACGAGGTTTTCACTCATACTGGTAAATGGGAAAGGGCTAATGAGTCATTCGATGGATATGCCGTTTCACTCACTGGATTTTGAATTAAAATATTGGTGGTCCGAAACTCGCGGTGAAAAAACGACACTAAGATATCCGGTACCTAATACAAAGTAAATATGTTGTAATTGAGGTCGATCGGAGTAAGTTTCGATGATGACGATAGATCCCGAAAAACTCCCATTTTGGCAGCTTTTTTCTTTATATAGATTTTCGCCCACCCTGAGTTTCCAACTTCTAAGCACCATATCTGAGTACATTTACAATATAGAAGAAAATAACAAACAAGGTTTTGTAGAGCGGAAGAAGTACTTTCAAATGATATATGTGATTTCCTTGGTAGTACTTGTATTCACTGAGTTTGTAGCTCGAAAAAACTACGTTATTATGCACCCAACCAACACTATGTCATATTTGTGTTATGAATTGTACTGTGAAGTGCGTTGAAAAGGAGCAGCTCATGAAACAAAGCAAACAATGTATTCGTGGATTTTTTTTTGTTTTTTTTTTTCTTGTGAAGGCCAAATATTATGTTTGCAGAGTAACCCTTGGTGATATATTCTCTTCGTGACTAGCAGCAGGCTACTCCGCGCCACCAATCACGTCAGGCAAATCAACAACAAATACAACATCAGCAACATGTGACGCAACAGGTAGGAACTTATAGTTCTTTTTGATCTTGAAATGGCTCAGTTGCAGCAACAACCCCGGCTCAAATTGATGGGGTAATAGTGAAAACGAAATGAAAATTGTGTGTGCCGAACTTTCTGAAAATAAAGAAAAGGTCAAAAGCAAACCGCCGTTGAAGCTGTTAACAAGTACTCCTCTTTATTTGAAACAAGGCAGGGGCGGGGCCGTACGAGTCTTCTGAACTTGCTTGCTCCACAGCTCCACTAACTGCGTATTTGAATTAGCTTAAGCCGTAATCCACGTTGCGTGTCAAGGGGTGTGTACGAAGTATCTCGTCCGTAAAGTCACATTAGTCACCATCATATCCTTTTGTAGCCCCAGTGCTATTGTCGCGCACTTTCGCGCCGCGACAGCGGCTTATCTGTGATACTCATGGGCTTCTCTAGTCCCTCTAGTGAACAACAAAGGTATGCCGATGTTGATTAAATGACAGTATCGTTTTTCTAACCTCGCTCTTGACACAGTAACGTTAGTAAGACGAAGACGAGACTAACTCTCCGTAGACTTACGGACGAGATACCTCGTACCACCCCATGACTAACATAAGTAAGACGTAAACAAGAGGTTCGAAATGAGGTCCGGAGCGATATTAATCGGCAAGAGATAATTTGAGCGATTGAAAGTTTTGTTCTCATCACTTACTTTATTATTTTTTCTCTGCCAACCGTTATCTTTATTAATTTTGGTGGTGTACATCAGCTTAACGATGGCTCCAATCCTGATGAGCCACGGTTACGAAATTCCAGTAGCTTCGATGTTAATTGTAACCCAGAGTCTCGGTTGAAAATAGCAAGATGTATTCATAGTCGCAGCTAGCCTTCATGAACTCGCTAGCGCTTTTCAGTCATGTTTAGCAGTCGTTACTTGAATGTAGTATTATAACTCAAATGCCTGATCTGTACTTCCAAGGGTTTCGTTGATTTTCGGCAGTCTATTGAGCCTCTATTCATTTCCCATGTTTTCTTTTCCAGCAAGCTCAACAAAATTTGATGCAAGATGATAAAACGAGTACGACTACTCACATTGTGCAGGGAAAGGAGACTGAGGTACACTATTAATTTTGTAGTTGATCACTAAATTCTACTTTCAAGTTTTTAAGCTGTCACCTGGTGTTTCGGAGCCAGTTTCGGCATCCACATCTGCAACGACACAAGTTCGTAGAACTTAATGAATACAAAAAGTTCTGCATTATTAGAATACATTGGTTTGTCTTTATAGGCTGTTAATCCTCCTGCAACGGTAAAAGTTCCTGTGGCATCACCACCGATGGAATGTGACAGCTCGGTTCCCAGTCCACCGAAAACAACTGTTGCTACTACTGTCTCGACTGCCCCATCTGCTTCGCAAACAACTCGGTCTGCGGCATCGCCCCTAAGGAAAGAAGGTGAGTCCACATATCGAACCTGGGTTTCCTATTCGCTCAAATTTGAAGTTGTAGAGGATGTACGCTCGGAACGCAGCTTCGTGGAATCTCCTCAACCGCCTCGTGCGCCAGCCCCCGCACCATGGGACAGTACGCCCTCTCCTCGCCCACGTGACTATTCACCGGATCGCGAAAGTACAGCAACACGAGATACCGAGAAGGACCGAGATTATGACAAGGAGAAGGAACAACGGGAAGCTGAACGAGAAAAAGAGGAGGCTCGAGAACAATCGAAGAAAAAGCCCACGAAGGAAGTTCGCGCTGGCGCTCCTAACCAATCTCGCCCGAGAACGAAAACCAACGAGGTAATTTTGCTACTATATAATTGATTATTTGCCTTTTTTCATTTTCGATACTTTTTTTAATCAGATCGCTCGTCTTCTCGATGACTTGTGCGAGGGATCATGGGCGAATACTGTTCGTCGTGTATCGTCTAGCTCACGTCGTCCCACCGAAGAGGCAATCATTGAGCGAAACAGCAAGAAAGAGAAAAAGAAGGTTGTTCACTTATCGTCGTGTTTCTTCGTAGTATTCGGGTTTATTTTTAGAACGGACTTATATCTGAAAGTTGTAAAAAAATTGTGCACCATGACTTCCTTTCTATTAAGATGGAGAAAAATCGCAAAAAGGAACGTTCTCGAGAACAACGAGCGTCTATTGCGTCTTCTTCGGTATCATCTGTGACTACCTCTGGGGCAGCGAAACCAGCCAGACGAAAATTGAAGCAGTTAAGCGACGACTCCAGCTCAGGATCGTCCAGTGATTCAGAAGAGGTTATACAACCTGTTCGAAAAACAGCAGCTGTAGAGAAAAAGAAGGCCGAAGTGGTGAGTCTACCAAGCTTTCTCTTTTTTCTTTATATTGTTTGAACCTTATTTATGCAAAAACGTGCTGTTCTTGCTATTATAGTATCATGTATTGCAGAAAAGGAAGCGTGTCTCACCGCCTGCATCGGATGTTTCTTCAAACCGATACAGTGACTCTGGTTCTGACTCTGAGGAACGTATCTCATCAAAGAAGGGGAACAAGCGTCGTTTTCCATCAAGCGAGAAGAAATCGTCAGAAAAGAAAAAGTCACACGCATCCAATTCAGTAACTTCGGTTACGAAGAAGAAGGCAAAGGTAACAGTTGGCGCTGTAATCATAATTTCAAAACCACATAGAAAAAAATTAGTGGGATTGATCTGCGCATTTCCTCTTTGTAGGCCGCAAGTCGAAAACGTGAAGACACGAATACAGACGAAGAGGCGATCACGCAGCACGATCCCAGTACAACATGTGCGCTGAATGCTGAATGTACGAGACCGCAAAGCGAACAAGTTGGATGGGTAAGTGAAGAAATATGAGAACTAGATCAATGAGATCATAGCCTTGATCACTAAAAAAGAAATTGAAAAGACATGAACTGGGCTGAATTATATTTTGAAATCATATTTTTCGACGTCTCGTTAATCGTGTTCTTGCGAAGTAAGATCAATCACTTGTATTGAATTGCCTGTGCTCTTTTTGGGCTAGAGTACAGACTAGACTAGACTAAGTCTGTTTCTCATGTAGATCATCTTGGATGGAGGATGTCGCCAGGTGATGTGATCGCCGGGTGACTACCTACACTCGATTGCAATTAAATTTAGTTAACGCACGACCTTTCCGTGATGTTATTAAAAAGATCGGGTAAAAAATGTTCGCTTTGTCGAATCCCTCCTTACACATCAATGGTGATCTACTTGAGATTGGTGAAGCTCTGGGTGTAAAGTTGTTGTGATATGACAAGGCTTTGATGACCGCTTCTAACTTCACAGAGTGGGAAGGCTGATTTTGCGGCTTTTCACCAGATTGGTCCCCCGGCAAGCGCCGGAACCTCCCTACCTTGCGTAAGCTTTCCCTTCTCCCTCCTCTCCTTACTCACCCCTCGTTCTCCTCTGCTCGCCGGCTACCACAGCATCACCTTGTGGAATGACCGAAAGTGTGCTAAGTGCGTGTTTATATAGCCGTTCTGGGTTATCACAATCATGCTTGTGCAAAACATTGATAGCGCAAATCCTGCGAGCTACCCAGATTTGTTAGCGGTTTGTTTATCCCATGAGCTTCCTTCTCACTCACTTCATTTTGCGGACGGACACACATACATACATACATACATACATACATACATACATACATACGCACACACATACAGACATACAAACCGACACACAAAGTTAGCGCTTTATAAAATAGAAGGATTGATGGATTGATGATGTTGAACCCGTCTAGAATCTCGACTAAAAGGAGATGGTATGGCCGAAATGTGCAAAGCTTTTTTCTTTGAAGCTTCAGAAATTTTCTAGTCTTAAGAGGTTTATGTGAAATTTTGGTGTTTCAACCTGTCCCTCTGTTCCCCTTATCAGTAAATGAAGTGTAATATGCCATTAAACAAATGAGAAAAAGTAGTAACAAAAATTGTAAATAGGAATATAAGTATAAAAACGGAGTAATAATGTCAAGAAGCCAACTGTTTGCTATTAGACCACTGCGTCACTTGCAAATGCAAGTGTCGTACGTTTTTCTCGAATTAAACTATCAAATAAGTAGTATAGCAGCTATGTAAGGTTACCATGCATGACCATTTTTTACATACCGTTTTCTCTAATTTGAAGCCTAGTGACAAGTGCAAAGAGTATTTTTTTAAACATTCTCATATTGCAGATATTCTGCGACGATTGTCAGAACTGGTTCCACAACATCTGCATTCTGGGGCGTGAGGAAGCTCCTGATGATGAATTTTTCTACTGTGGTTGTAAAGCAAAGAAGAAAACTAAGAAGCGATGAACGCAGCTATCTCCCATCGATTGTTTGCAGAGATCTATCCAGAAGGATCTGGTGATATCGGATCACTTTATGTGAATGAGTGGTCATTCGCCTCACTATAGGCTCAGCAGTGATTAGCTGTTGACAGTATCTCGACCTTCCGGTACGTGTTCCCCCCAGATTGTGAAAAGGAGATCGAAAGTTACGCTCTTTGTTGCTGGACCAGTTGTTAATCATTTGGAGATAGTAATACTATCTCAGTTTTGCGGGTATTTCGTAGTCGTATTTAGAAATCAAAGCCTGTGCCGACAGGTTGTTTGAATCGATCTAACTGAATTTTCTCCGTGTCTATAAACAGATGTCCATTCCACCTCATATCGCCTCAAGTTAATATTCGCTTGTACTTTTGCATTTCTCCTTTCCCTTTTGTATATTAAACTATTGCAGTGTTTAGTAAATTAGCCTGCTACAGTAACTATATGTTATGCACCTACTACGTTTGTTTTGTGTCAGTAATAAGATATGTAAGACATATTGTGGAGAGGCCTCCAATTTATTTGAATCATTTCTTTTATTTTATTAGAATTGGGTGTTCAATACCAAAACAGATAATAAATTAGTATGAATATTGCCGCATAGTTTGATGTTGTTACTTTAGAAAGCAAGTCCCCGTTTATGGAATTCTCGCGATATTGTGTTGGTTGTCACGTCCGAAAATAGCTTCAAGTACAGGCAGGATGACAGAAATTTGAGCGCGAATGCTAAAACTCTCAGATGGTGCGTGTTATGTTTGCGCAAAAGGGATGGTGCGACAGTGTGAAGCGCCGATACAAGACAGTTCCGCCCGGCTGAAACTTTACCCATTACGGAACTACGATAGTTCGGCCCGCCGAACCGATCGTCAACCCTATTGCGTCAGGACTCTGTCGGAAAAGCAAGCAAGTTTACACTGGTGAAATTGTGCCTCATCATTTGCCGCGTAGCTCGAGTCAAATCTCATTCTCGGCGGTACCCATCGAGCAATTTCCGTAACTATCAATATGATCAGTAATGTTAATATCAAATTGAATAACAGGGGAGAGATTCCTGACTACAGCCAGACATACTCTAGAGACTAAGCGATCATCAGTCCAACTAGGGACGTCAGGGGAAATAGAGGATAAATTCAAATGGAAGAGTCACTAGTGAGAAAGCACTACGCACTCAACTTCATGAACTTCCTCCACCCTACTTGTGGGAGGAAGATTCTTGCAAGCGTGAAAGTGATACTTTGTTGTACCCTCCCTTTCCGTTTCTCGCCATATTCAAAAAGGGTCTATATCCAGTTAGGGGGCATCATGGTGCGGTGACTCCCAAAAAGCTACGGTAACTCTGAGCCAGGGGGAGTGTAGCCAGCCTAGGGGGGTGGGGGGTGAGGGCAGTCACTTGACATGCGTGAGAAGCTGGAATGTTCGAGTTTACATTAGCTCGCCGAGAAACTGCATCATCATGCCCCCCCCCCTGGAAGAAGACCTGAATAAAGCTTGTCGCAAACGTTATTTGAGCCTAAGAGTATGCACCAAACATGTGGCGAAGCAAGGCCCCATCCCTTTTTCTATGGCATATAATGAATGTTTGATGGACAGTTTGATGACGTCTGATGAGAAAATGCGCTGCTGAATACCCACCATGACAAACTAGTAAAAATGTAAAGCGTTAGACGTCAGTCAAGCCCTTTTATGGAATGCGCTACGCATTTTACTAACATCCAAAATTGTACAGGCAATATCCCAGTTTGGATGCAATGTGATCCATACACTAATTTGCCAGGCAATGTACCCTCCTGAACAAGTCTAGTACCAAATGATCCACCTTAGAGGGATGGGAGGAATGGTTGACCTGAACGACGTGCGATCCAGGAATGGGCTCCCGGATAGCGCGCGAGTGAGCAGCACCACTGGCCACTACATCACCTCGACTCAAACTCGTGCGAAACGGAAGCCAAAATGACTCTTTATGGACCCCGTCTATTATTTTGTTTAATTTTATACTAAAACGGCTTCTACATTTTTTCAAAGGAATAAATAGTGAACAGTGATTTCGACTGTGGCACCAACAGCAACTCGTATCTTCAACAACTCATAATCTTCAACTCGTAGGCAACAGGCGTGGGAGCGGATACGATTGTGGTTACACAGCGACATCGTGGATACTGAAAGATATGCGGCCGTTGGTAAATTTGGAATAGCGATCATGTATAGAGTTGGAAGGAAGGTACAGAAAAGTGAATGCGCAGCACTCACACACAACACGGAGGGATGGAGGTCGACTGAGAAGATCCCGTACGGTTACCGACTCCTACGTAACAAGTACCAAACCCCATTTCATTCTTTTTCCATTCTGTTAGGTAGGAATCCCCTTAAAATGGTTAAAGTGACTTCCAAGAAAAGGTGTTCATCATCGTTCGGAATTTCGCTTCATCCAATAACACTGAAATTAGTTGTTCAGATCATTGAACTACTTTATTGTATTCGAAGTTTTTCTTTACTTCTCAGTTCGAGTAAAAGGTTATTTTTAAACTCTCAATATTAATGTTTGTAATCACGTGTTGCTGTTGCTATGCCATACAGGTTGCTACGGTGAAAGAGATTTATCCGGTCCACGTTTCGAACAATTCGCCGTCTTCAGGACCTAAAGTTCTTTGTAGTTCTTAGCTTTCAACTATTTCGGTGAGAAGCCTCGTTTTATTTCTCAAAATACAAATAGAGAAAGATCCCAACAAAGAAGCCGACCTCACTGCTACTCCGCCAGCTCTAAGCAGCCACTTAATGTTGTACTTTTTGAGGGGGTGGGCCTCAGAGAGTAGTTTAGTCTCCCGTTTCGAGAAGATTTCTCTTAGACTGCTGTCACACTCTGCGACGGACAAGCGATCGCG